AGAGACAGAATTAGAATAAGTAGGGTACTGTACTTTCCCAAGAGGACACTACAACTGTTTTTTGTTGAGCCTACTTCATTGTAATAAAAGCGTTTGTTGGATCGGGTTGTATTCTCTTCTCCGATCGATAAACCCTTCCTTCTTTGTTTTTATATATTCGTTCTTTCTCTCTTTCTTACTTGGCTGCACTCCTTATTTTCAGCCCCCTTTCTGATGTCTCAAGACTATCTTCACGAAGAAGGTCTTCCGGCAGGCTCTCTCCTCGAAGAGACTGAAAGGTTATCAGCTGGAACAAATATAACTGACCGGCTGCCCATACATGTGGCACACATAGTCAATGGTTCTCAAACCGTTCTCTTCCGGAAAATTCAAGCCCTAAAAGACAAAATAGCAGCGTACATTACAGCCCCGTCTGAAGCGTCACTCCATGCTATGACATGTCGCCATGATGCTCTGGTAGCTTACGATACCAAAGTAGCCGATGACATCCGTCATTGGTGTACGCCAGAACATGTACAATACATTGCAACTGGTTTCGCCTCCTACATCATTTATCGCGATGCCCATGAGTTCACCGAGGTTATCGAGGAGTTCGAGTCTCTCTGTTACGATCACATCGCAAGAACCACTGCCACCGATATCTGTCCTACTGCCTCTGCAGTCCGTAATCCAACAGTGCCTGATTCTGCTTCCCCCGTTCTCCAGCCCTCGAACCAAACCTCACACTCAGCTATCATTCCTACTGCCTCTGCAGTTCGAAACTCAACAGTTCTCGGTTCTGTTTCTCCGGTTCTCCAACCCTCGAACCCAACCGTACACTCAGTTTCCCCACCCGGACACCGAACACTGTCCGATCCACATTCCTATCCAAACCCCCAGCCTTGTCCTACCGACTCGGGGGGAATTGATCTGTCGTATGAGTTAGACCTCCCCAAGTTTAACGGGGATTACTTGATGTTCCCAAACTTTATTAATAAGTTTCTCTCTCTCTTATCCACCAAATCGCGTTTTTCAAACAGAGACAAGTATCGTCTCCTGCGCAAATACACCGAAGGGTTTCCTAATGACTTAGTGTGCAATATCCCAATCTCCCCTGACGGCTATAGTCAGGCC